TGAAAGTTCTGGAAAATATGGCTCCGGACTCGCTAGTGAAGAACAACCTGGAAACATTCGCTATAATCCAGACCGAGCTGTCCAAATGTGTAAGTTCTATTTTCTTCCAGCCGCTGGACAACTTCCCAACACAGCGTGATGTGAACCACATTTCATAGATTATGGATACAACACTTTAATACATTGCTGTGTTAATGGCCCATAGAGTTCAACAAATAACAAACCCTACACATGCAGCTGATGCCGAGGAAAGCAAACAAACACCAATAAAGCAGGATCCAATTTACTCCAACGGGGAAAAAACTCCTTCCCGATCCCTAAAGATAATTGAACGACATTAATCAACATTCAACAATATTTTTTCCTATAAATAGGTAGCCATTTATATTTTGTGCACTGACAAACACATGCTGCCCCCTTTTTTTTTTAAAGTGTACGCAATGCCAACATTGTTTCATTTTTGGATAGAGAAGAGAATTGTTAGAACCCTTGTTAGTTTATTTTTTGCTTTCTGTAAAAGGCTTCTTTACAGTAAGAGCTGTGAGAATGTGGAACTGGATTCCTCAGGAATTAGTTCTAACTAGTTCAGTTAATTGTTTTAAAAAAGAGACAGCAATAAAAAGTTCACAGGAGTTCTAACGTTTGCCTTCTCTAATCAAAAATGTTGGCTTTACATACACTTTAAAGCATTCTACTGAGTCAGCTAAAACCAGCTCATGTGAAAAACTATTGAACATTCTACACTTTCACAGCTCTAACACCAAAGAATCCTTCCCTGCTTTAGATACAGGGGGCCTGCTTTCTATAACTGTTTATTTTAATGTTGCCCCATTGGATCAAAAGCTAATAGACACAGTTAGCACCCCGTATGACTGTTATTTTTGGATCCCGTGTCGTATTCTGTACACAATACAGAGAGATCTAGTTAATCTGGTTTATGAATTGGATATTTATGAAATCAGAGGCATACAAAGGTGGTTTGGTTAACATTTGGAATTCTTTTGCAGGAGGCAACCAAATCCCAACAGGGAGAAGTCTGCCAGCGACGTCTGATAAAGAGCACCGAGAAGGTATGTTTCAGTGGTATATGACAAGCGACCTTTGATACATTGTGTGCTCGGGTGGTTGGAGAGTTACAACATGAGGGGTCGCTAGCAGATGGGGATGTCTTTGCTTCTGCGACCATTTTATTCATGTGCCAAACAGGGCAATAAGAAGCACTTGGGGCCTTTAGTTTTAGAGCATCAGTCCTTCTGAAAGTGATATTTTAGTCATAAGTGGAGCCTTTGGGCCGAATTGCCCCCTGGCTTGTTTTATGACTTGATTACTCCCACAGTGAGCTTTCTTCCCATAATTCCTTTCTCTGTTTCTGTCCATCTGGAAATTTGTTGGCGTTCCTGCTCACCTATGTGAGTTCCAGCTCCTCCTGTTGTGTTTTTCATAATATAAGATAAATAGAAAACCCAACAGAGAGGATGGGAACTCCTTATAATGTCACAGCAGGTGTGCAGAGCTAAGAAGTAAACTGTGGAAGTCTCATCAATAACCCAGAGATATAGGAAATTCTCAAGTCATTTATCACTCTGGCATCTACCAAACACGGAAATGTTAGATTTGGGTAGACTGACCCTTTAAGACTGTAAAGGAGCTTGTATTGTACTCCCCTAGTACTCTATGTAGATAGGTACAAAGCTGTCAGTGGCCTATCAATGTGATGTCTACAAGAGGCCCAACTGTGTTGTAGTAGACCATCAAAATAAAGTCTACCATACGCCCAAATGTGATGAAGTAGCCCATCAATATGCTATCTACCATAGGCCCAATTGTGTTGTAATGGTTCATCAATATGATGTCTACCATAGGCCCAAATGTGTTTTAGTAGCCAATCAATGTGATGTCTACCATAGGCCCAACTGTTTTCTAGTGGTCCATCAATATGGTGCCTACCATAGTCCCAAATGTGTTGTAGTGGCCCATCAAAGTGATTTGTAGCATGGCCCCAATTTTGTTTTTAGTGGCCCATCAATGTGATGCCTACCATGGCCCCAGTTGTGTTGAAGTGACCCATCAATGTGTTGTCTACCATAGACACAGTTGTGTTGTAGTGGCCCATCAATGTGTTGTCTACGATAGACGCAGTTGTGTTGTAGTGGCCCATCAATGTGATGTCAACCATGGTCCCAATTGTGTTGAAGTGGCCCATCAATGTGCTGTCTACCATAGACACAGTTGTGTTGTAGTGGCTCATCAATGTGTTGTCTACGATAGACGCAGTTGTGTTGTAGTGGCCCATCAATGTGATGTCAACCATGGTCCCAATTGTGTTGAAGTGGCCCATCAATGTGTTGTCTACCATGGACACAGTTGTGTTGTGTTGTAGTGGCCCATCAATGTGATGTCAACCATGGTCCCAATTGTTCTGTAGTGGCCCAACAATGTGATATCTACTTTAGACACAGTTGTGTTGTAGTGGCCCATCAATGTGATGCCTACCTGGCTTCCAATGCTGAGTAAGCCATAGTGCCATCTCATGAACATTATTGCTTTGTTTGGATAAATAAAGTTAAGTAATGTGTACAGATGTAAGTTTTGTCCTTTGAATGCCAAGTTTTTTTTATTTTATGTTAAAGTGCATTGTGCTCAGACTAAAGACACTAAAAAGATTTAAATATTTTAACAATTAGTAAAGAAGCTTTAAAACAAGCCATCTCTGACCTCATTAGCTGCTTGTACTGTGAAATGATTCATTTTCATAAAATCCTTTAAAGATCACAACAGAGTCTCTAAAGTGGGTTTCAGACCCGTGGTGTGTTACAGGCTGGCAGACAGCCAAGATTCTGCTGTAATAGAAAGTAATTAAAAAAAAGAGTGAAGATTTCAGTGCCTGTGTTGTGAACTTTGAAGATGAATTTCTCCACAAGGCCCGTAGCTACAGAGGTGAACTAAGGACTTAAATTAATACGAATACTGCTTCTTCAGATTATGTAAATTCTTTAGTGTGCAAAGTCTCTACACATTGATCGGTTGGCCTTTAAAGCTAACCACACCAGCTGTGATGGCTGCTTCATATTCAGCCATTTGGTGCACCCAGGGAGCCAAGGAAAGGTGGAAATGAGTTACTGATGGCACCAATTAAAATGAACCTATTGCTTTGTCCTGCAACTTTGCTTTAGTTAAAGTACAACTGAAGCCAAAACCCTTGTTTGGTTTTAGGTGGAGTGCAGAGGGATTAGAACACCTGCCAGGTTTTTATTGCTGTCTGTGTCCCCGTTATGGAGATTCACCCTCTCTGTGTGTCCTGGTGACTGTTTTCACTGAAAGAAAATCCAATTGTTTTTCCAATTACACTAGTTCTGGTGACCCTACTGACCATCAGGGATTTCTCTCACTCTGGAGGAATTTGCTCTCATTTCCTGTTATGGCTATTGGACAGGAAGTGAAAGGAAATCTCCCCAAGGGAACACAGAGGGCAAACAAAAAATGCTGACGGGTTATAAATCTCCCTTTTCTCTGTTTAAAATTGAAAAACTGTTATGGCTTCAGTTGTACTTTAACCACTGTTTTCCAGTTAGCTTTTCAGCCTGCACATTCTTATAAACACATTGGGGAAACAGTGTACTGAGAAAATGTGCAGCAGCACTATTATTGGGAGGAGTTTAGCACTAGGGGCATGGCTTAACACCAGGACTGCAGAGGCTGTACCATAGGAATGTTTTTTGTGGCAGCATGAAAGGACAAATGCTCCGACTTACATTTATGTCTAGATTACTTATACCAATCTGTTACTTTATATCTTTCTAGGTCTCTGCAGAGTGTCTACAGAGTGACGTTCTGGTAAACCTTATCTGGACTCTTATTGAAGATGTGGGTTTGGTCCTTCCCGGGAATCATCATCGAGGTGCGCAGCAAGGAAATGCGCCAGTCACCCCCAATGACCAATCTTCAAAGAAACGTAAAGGAAAAAGAAAACACAAAGGCAAAAAAACCAAAGCAAAGACAAAACCAGCTGCACAACAAAACATATAACCACTGCGCAAAAAGAAAAAGAAAAAACAAAAACAGGTCTGAAGAAGACCCAATAAGCTGCCGTTTTAAACAATTCCTAATGTGAATGGATATCGGGCTCTGCCTGGTTCTTTCTTAGAGACTTACATGACTTGAAATCTACCTTATCTACCGTGACTGAGTGTTATATTTGCATGCAAAACTGGAGCAGACAGAATCTGGAGCACTTGCCTATGGCAACCAATAAGCTTCTATCTTCAGTCTGTTCAGTTAAGATTGGAAAATGAAAGAGAGAAGCTGATTGGTCACCATGCACGGCTGCTCCAGGGATTATGTCTGCTCCAGTTTTGATCAATTCCTCTCAATATGTTTTTATATTGTAATAAGTTTATGATATATATTTAATAACTATGGATATATTTTATTGGCAGAGCTACAAAAAGCAGCCCACAATGAACCCCTAAAAATGTTTGGGAGTGTGTATGTGTGTGTGTGAATGTCTGTGTTTTAATAGCAAATTACCACGCAATTGCACCTACTGTTCGTTCTGGTGCAGAAAGTGTGAGAGGTGTGTCGCGTTGCAATTCATTTGAATGGCACCCCAAACACACCTCCCACAGTTTGATTACTTGCACCGGAACATGCGGTACTGCAATGCCGTGCGTTCCAAGTAAGACTGTGCAAATAAATAGCTAAGTGCAGTTCTGAGGGACCTAGTGGTTCTGACAATAGCTGCAGAGCATTACGCCTGGGTCTAGTGTTTCGCAAAGCTCTGCACAATATTGGCATTATATTTGCTGTAATCATTCACGGATTCATTTTCTGCCAAATGATCTGCACCAGGTGGCATTATTCCTGAGGTAACCTTCGCTTCACCTGTGTTTGCCTGTGGGAAAAGCGCAGACGGAGGGCTCTTAGGTTGCCAAGATCCACCTTCGCCTGCCAGGCCACTGCACATAAAGACTCCCACACCTCCCTCCTGCTAACAATCAGCCATGAAGCTCCTGTGTGTCTACATCCTGCCCCTGCTGGTGGCCCTGTCCTGGGCAGTTTGCCCCTTGCCGGCTGAGGTTAAAGATGATGAAGGCAACAAGCTGTGCGCCCGCATGTACGCCGACAGCAGTGTCTACTATGAAGATTGCTGTGTCGGGGATTACCTGGACGTCAAGCCCGGAGAGGATGTGCCTTACATTGCCTTGAGGTTCAACAACCGCGTCTCTTCTTTGGTCGTGGCTACCCGATGTGAGCTGACTGTCTGGTCCAAAAAGCCAAAGGATGGCGTCACCAAGAAGTTCAGCAACGGGTCCTATCCACGGCTAGCAGAGGTCAAGAAAGGGCTCCTTGGAAGCTGGGATGACTCCATCTCATCCTACTATTGCAAATGTAACTGAGAGAACATGGGAAGCCTGCAGGACCTTCTGGGACATGAGGAGCCCTTAGGAAGACGTCGTCCACCATCCTACCACCTTCTGTATAATGATAACCATTCTTTGAATCGGCAATTAAAGCCTCTGAAAATGCAGAGTTGTCCTATTTCTGTCTATCAGAGGGGTGGAAGTTTAAAAAAGAAGGGAGTTTGTGGGGTAAATGGGCAATGGAGACCCAGGAGAGTGGGTAAGGGTGAGTGTGAGGTTTTTCTTTTTGCTTTTTGAAGCCCAACTCCTGTCAACACTTATTATTATATGTTAGAGCAGGTTTTTATTGCCATCTGTGTCCCTACTAGAGGGATGTCTCCTCACTTGCTATTAGTGCAGACATGGATGGGAAATCTCACCAATGGTGGTGCAGACAGAAACTCACTTTAGGTAGACTGTGGAAAAGTTAGAACTTCTCACAATGTTTGCATGTGTGCCTTCCTGTCCCAGTGACAACTGCTCCCCTCATTTCTTGCACCGGTATCACAGGGACAGGAAACAGATGGCGCTAAGGAGCATAAGGAAGAAGTATTTATTTCCTATGCTCCATCTAGTGGCCATAATGTGGTATTTTTCTGATATTACATTCGATCTGAAAAGAAAATTTACCATTGAATTTAGTTTTTGCCTCCATTCGCACAGAACGAATATACATGCAGTTTTGCAGGACAATTTATTTTTATAGTATCATAGTAGGTAAGGTTATATGTAAGTGTGTATGTGTGTGTATCTGTATATACTTGGCTCTATTAGTTCCTATATCCTTGTATATTTAGTGAACTAAGAAACTAATCTAAAAGTTTCTTGAATGTATCAATGCTATCAGCAGATACCACTGACTGTGGAAGGGAATTCCATATTTGCACTACTCTAGGTCTGCAACCAACTAATCGATTAATCGATAATGATCGATAATGAGAATAGTTGTCAACTATTCTCAGTGTCGATTAGTTGGTTGGATCTCCTAACTCTCTCCTCCACGCTGGAAGGATAGCACAGCAAGCAGTGGGCGGCTGCAATAGCCAGCCTACTGTTGGCTATTGCAATTTGAAATGGCCAATATCAGGCTGGCTATTGCACCCGCCCACTACCTGCTGTATTTACATTCAGCCGCCGTCTGCGGAATCTTGCCACTGGCAGCTGTCATTCCCGGGCTGAAGCTATTCTGGCGCCATGTGCTTACAAAACAATTATTTTAAAAAAATTATAAAAGGTGGGGAAAAAGTCATTTTCCTTTTTGGCCTGGCAAATTCTGCTGCGGGAGGTGCGTTGCAGTGCCATTCATTTCAAACGCGCCTCCCACCCACAGTGTGATCGCCCGCACTGCCGTGCACTCCAGTACAGTGCAAGTGCAAAACATTGTGCATGCAGTTTTATTCTAAAGAAAACTTTATGTTTCTAACAGTGCATTTGTGTATTTTATTTTAAATTAAGGATGGTGTTCATTTTATTTTTTATCCAATTAATGGATTCATCGAAAAAATAATCGGCCAACTAATTGGTTATGAAAGTAATCATTAGTTGCAGCCGTATGCTACAGTAAAAAAAAACCTCTTGCGCAATCTATAATTAAACCTCCTCTCTTCTAACCTCTTGTTGTGTCCTCGTGTCATATTGGGATCCCCATTAAAAACTGCAATCAGGTCCCCTCTTAAGTGCCTCTTTTCTAAAGAGAATAAGTTTTATTTCTGGAGGTGATCTTCTAAATACAGCCCTTTGTGTGATTCATTTTCTTTAGCCCATAAAAATCTGTCCCTTCAGTGAAACGGCCCTTAGGTTATTCTTATCCCATAGATCCACGTTCCGTAGACACACATTTGGGATATTTCATCTTTTGATGGGTCACTTCTCCCACCGATAAAATTTCAGAGATCTCTCGTGATTGCACATTCAGGAATAGTTGAAGAACGTCACCAGCGCACCAAAGCAGATGGTTACAGCCATAGGCGTCGCTACAGGGGGGACAAGGGGGGTCAATTGCCCCCCCTTTTTTTTGCCTTCCCCCCCCCCCCCCCACTGACCACCAGAGATCCCGCACTAACCAGCAGAGAGCCTGTACTGACCAGCAGAGAGCGCCACTGGCCACATGACAGTCTGCATTGGCCACCTGAGAGCCTAATTAAGGAGCCACCTCTGCTACACCCGCATGCACTTGTCAAACTCTCTGGACCCCTGGTGAAAGCCTGCACAGCCCACCTGAGAGCTCACACTGACCTCCTGAGAACCCACACAACCCTCCTGACACCCTGGAGACATCAGGCGGCGAACCCGGAGCAACATAGATTCTGTAGTTTTATATTATTCTGTATTGCTGGGATTTGTAGTCCTCTATAGCCAATACCATTCTGCAATGCTGTACAATGTATTTCTGAAATTTATAGTCCTCTATAGCTGGTGGTATTATTCTGGATTACTGTATAATGTGCTGAGATTTGTAGTCCCTCTACAGCTTGGAGTTAGTGGCAGAACTACCAGGGTCACAGCAGTCGTACACGTTCACAGCACTGACGAGGCATCCCTCCACTACCAGTGTGTTTTAACTTTTCTCAACCCATACATTTATCTACCGCGTCACTTCCAGGTGTGCATGAAGAAAGAGGGTCATGGAAACATATGATTAGGATGACTTGGCCCCACTGGAAGTGACACAGTCGAGAAAATGAATAGGATCGAGAAAAATGATAGAACCCTGACTTTGACACTGGTGACGTTCTTCAACTATCTGCATGTGGCGGTGTTCTATCGAAAGCTCCAACTCATCTAAATCTCCAACTACCTCACTGCCTGTGTTCTATCGAAAACTCCAACTCGTCTAAATCTCCAACTACCTCACTGCCTGTGTTCTATCGAAAGCTCCAACTTGGCGAAATCTCCAACTACCTCACTGCCGGGTACTTGCAAGTTGGAGATTTCGACCAGACAGCGACTGGAAAACACAAAGACTGACGGAGCTCTGTACAGTTGCATTTTAACAATATTCAGCAGGTGGCAAACTTGATGAGTATTCTGAAAACGCTATGCGCGCATGCGCACCGCAACTGTACAGAGCTCCAGTCTTTCTGAGCACCGGAAGTGAGGTAGTTGGAGATTTCGATGAGTTGGAGCTTTTCGATAGAACAGCGGCGCCATCCGCAGTCATTTTGAGCAGCCGCATGTATATCCCCATGGGAACCCCGGTAAGGTGTGCAGCAAGGATCATTTCTTTTGCACATTCGGACATGACACAGAACTGATTTAAAAAACGTCCATTTTTTCCTGTATTTCTTTTATTTCAGAGCGTCTCCAAAACGTAGAACAATGCAACCAATTAAACATAATCACATGACCTGAACAGTTTGTCTGACAGGTGACATGAAGGTAGTGGGGATTAAGTATGAAAGCCAGTGCAAATTAAAAAAAAGAGGAGTAACCAACAGCAAGCAGCCAACCTCCATGTCCAGGCAAAGGGGCTCCAGGAAGCCGATATTTCAGTCTAGTATCTATGCACATTAATTGTATTTTTCTTGGCGACTCCAGAGATGGTTTGCTGTAATTTAAAATGACTAATTCAGCAGTGTGAGTGAGACTCCTGGTAATGGTCAGACTGAATATATCCCACTTCCGGAGTCTGTGAATGACATAAGAAGCTGGAATGGAATTAAAACCACCATCATCTACGCTGACCTCAATCTGCTTTGGGTGGTCTGACGTTTTTATAAGACAGCTACCCTGATATTATGATACTGGGTGCCAAACAGTAAACCGAAATTTGCAAGTGTATAAATCAGCTCCTTTACCTTTAAAGCTGAACTCCCGCCAGATATGTATCTATTAAAGGTCATTAAAATATATTTTGAAATTCTGCCAGTGTAAGTACATGGATATGGCTTGGTTTCAGCCTCTCTTAACGCCCCGTGTGGCCTCACACAGACTGGGAGAAGAAGGACTGGCATGAGAAGGTTTACTGTGTGCACAGGTGCTGATGAGGATCATGCTGACAGGCGGAGAGAACAGAGTGAGCAGAGGAATAAGCTTATCAATCTGCTACAGCTCCTTCATTGGCCTGGGAGAGAGGTGACCTAGCTGTATTACTTAAATGCAGTAGAGAACAGGCAAGTCACCAGCTTGGCTTTGCTGTCTGGCAGAGCTGTGTAAATCTCCGGAGTGGAAGGAAAGGGGATACAACATATTTGTCAGGTAAAACAATACTCAAATGTATATTTCAGCCGTGTGCTTGTCTGGAGTTTAGCTTTATCACCAGAAGCCTCCATTTAGAAGACCCCAGCCCAATTTTATGACATGTCTACCATAGCTATGATTGCTGCAGTGTGTAGCTGGGAGTCAAAGACACGAGCTCAGGGTCAGGCTGCCCATTATTCACTCCATGTAGCTCAGCACAAAGCCGTTGTCACTGTTATAACCTGGGGATGGAAGGGGGAAATGGCTCACCAGTCATAGCGTACAGTATACACTACAGTCCGGGGTGTTATAAAGACATACAAGAATTGCAGGTATCACAGTATCCTGAATAAAACATTTATCCTTTACACACTCTATTTGCACCAGTTTTCACAGATCAGTCCAATTGTATTCACTTCCTGATATATAATGTGCTTGTAACCAGAGGAACCAGACGCAGGACTGCCACGCACCTCCGGTGCATGACGCCATTGGGGATAGGACAGCTTTGTGTCCCTATCATTGAATATGAGATGACTGTGTCACATGACTCTCCTGATGTCACCATATTGTCCCCTAATATTCATCATTCTTCAGTGTCACTTCACCCTCTTAGCTGGACGAATAAAGTGCTGTCAGCTACCCGCGTGCGGTGGAATCCCAGCACTGACAGGTCCTTGCTCTTGTGTAAGAAATGAATATAACGAACTCCGGGGCCATAGGACTTGAATATATGGGAGACCTGAAACATAAAGAGATGATCATGAACTACCATCCTGAAAATGTGGAACAGCACGCACATCAAACTGGGGAAGTCA